TTCTTTCTTTCTTTCTTTCTTTCTTTCTTTTTTAAAGCTGTTATTGTATTAAAGTCGGCCATATTCTCTTTGAGCTTTTATTTCAAGGTCTTCTGAATTCTATCGCTCTGGGGAACGGTGTGAAAAGAAAAGCTCTTGCCAGATTCACAATCACCGCGGGCTCGAGTCGTGCCTATCACCCTCAGCTCCTGAAATACATGCAATTTGTGGCGTGTCTCATGCCATAATTACACAGGTTGCGAAATATAATGGAATAAATAGAATTATCCTCTCGGTTCGAGAACAAGTGCAGTTCACAAGTGCCTTTCTCCAGGCCATTTGGTTCCTTTTGCAAAAAAGAAAGAAAGCTTTGCAATGAGCTTTCCTGCCTGCTGCCTATCTCAGGTATCTGCCTGCTGGCCGCAGGTACACTCCGTGCAAGCAGCTATCACCAGACCTGTTTTAATGGTGCAACCGAGAAGAGCCCATTCCCAAGGTCCAAAGAGCCCCAGCACGGTATTTTTGTGGAGCTCTCCAACTAAAAATCAGCCGGGGGCCGGGCAGGCAGCTGCAATTGAGTGGGCTCATGGATGCTGCTGACATCCCAGCCGGGTTCTGCTTGGCCCTGACAAACAGATGCCCAGCGACTCTGTGGGCTCTGCTTCCTCTCAGCCTTGCCATGGGGACTGCCTCAAGTCCCTTCCTGGAATAACGCTGTCACCCCAGAACGGAGCCCGACGGTGAGACCACAGACCACATGGCCAGTTTTCCCCTGCCGTTCCTGCACTGAAATCGGGGAAACCCCACTCAGAGAGTTCCGAACATCTGCATGGGTGCATCGATGTTCTCATGTCACAGTGTTGTGAAGTGCCAGAGGCCTGACACCTTCTGAACTGTCCCTGCGCACCCCAGGCCCTGCGATTCCAGCACGCCTCGAGCACAGCGGCTTCCTGGAAAACAGAGAGCTTTCTTGCAGGTACTTTCCATGTAAGTTATGGCACAGATGCATAACACTCCAGTCTGAGCGCCAGCAAGCCCTCGGCAGAGGTATGGCCCTTTGAATTTCAGAAATGTAAGTCTAGAAGTCTGCACTGCCAGCGGCATCCGATACCCTCTAAATGTACCGTAAAGGTTCCTCGATAACTCTAATTAGAGCTGCAGACCACCGAAGGAGACTGGAGGCGAAAGCGGTTCTGCCTTTGTACCCTACCGAACCCGCGGCGCTGCGGCCCCGCGCACCGCATGGACACAGATTTTCAACGCCGGGCCGGGCCTGCCGCTCCCTCACCACCTCCGGAGAAGGGAGAGCCGAACACAACCACTAGGCCTTCTTTCTCCATCCCTCACGCGCCGTAGACAAGAAGAGATACGCGAGCACGGAGACGCAGAAGGCCGACGCTGAGCGCGGTGCCGCGCGGTCGCAGCCCGCTCTGGGGATGCTGCGCGGGCGCGGCCAGGTGCGGGCGCGGCGCGGCCACGAGGTGGCGCCATCGTCCCGCGAATGGCGGCGGCTGCCGCGGCGGCGGCAATGGGAGCTGTCAAAAGTCAAGGTCACAAACCGGCGTTTTTCCCCTCAAGGTCAAGGTTTGGGCCTTCCCCGGCCCGGCCTCGCCGCAGTGCCCCCACCTTCCCCTCCGCCATCGCCCCCGCGGCCCCAGGGCTGCCCGCCGGCTTCCATTTCCCTGAGCGGGCCGCCTTGCGAGGCCGGTGCCATCCTCCTCTTTCTCCTCTGGCCCCAAACCCTCTGCAAAGCTTTCCCGAACATCACAGCACATCTCTAGGAACGCTGGCTACCGGGCGGGCCTGCTCCCACAGAAACATCCTCCATCAATAAAACAAAGTAAAATAGGCACTGATACATCTCTATGCACACGTGTATCTGTACATAAGCTACACAATGGAAGGCAACAATCTTGCAGTCCCATGACAGGTCATACATTATATTTTTTTTACTTTCTTATGGAATGCATGTAGGTATCGAAAAATAAGGAGTGTTTCTTCCAGGTTTTATTACAGTGACTATTTTATTATAACAGTATTAATACTACTATGCCTATCTACACGTCTTGGATTTTCATTTTTTCAGTAGAAATATAAAATAAAAAAAAAATGAGGGTGCACAAATACATTTTCACAGTGCGCTGATTTTTTGTCATTTTATTTACACGATAGCTTCTTATAGTGAATAAAAACAAAATAATGTGCTGGTTGAAATAACTGATTGGATTAAAAGGTGCTGTAAAAAGAATCCCTAAATGTCCTACTGCGGCCTCATAACAGACAATAAACAAGGAGAAACAACTAATTACTTATAGATCAAAATATAGATTATATAAATCAAAATACTTCTGGGGGGAAAAGAAATGTATTTCAGTTCGAAGTTCTCGGGTATTTTTTTCCACAGAGGGATTATTTTTTAGCTATGCAGGAATGCCAGTGGTGGTGTTTTGGTATCCACCCAGAGTCAAACAACTACAAATTTCCGGGGACTTAAAGTATTTATTCTAGAAGATCATTTGAGGTTTAAAATAGGCAGAGTCCTTTACAACGTATCTATTGTACGGTCTGAGGGGGAAAATAAAACAACAAAACAGATGACAAGAAATCATCTTTCGGAAATAAAAATAATAAAACCAACAGATATCTCCAAGCAAATAATTCCCTTTCTATCCCCACTGTTTGCGATGGTTCTAATTTGCTATCAGGATAGATCCTCCACAGAGCTTCCTTCATTACTGATGTCTCTGAAATCCTTATTCAGTACCTTCGAGGTTTATTATTACATTTTTTTTCTTTCTTTTTCTTTAACACTAAATGCATTGCTTTAAAACATACAGTAATTGTATTTTTTTTCACTATGGTTTACCTGAGCAGTCATTCAACATACAGTTTGGATTGCAATGGAAGAAAACAAGCTTATGTGTACGCATCGAGCTCCTGACGTTCACCAGCTCCCATCGTGGCCACGACGAGCGTTCTCAAACAGGAAGGTCACCGAAGTACTTACAAGTTGCTCGGAAAATGGTGTGTCTGAACTGCAAGCGCTTCTCTCGGCAGGGGATGTGGGCTTCAGTTTGGCAGTTACACTGTCTGCTTGGGATTGCAGGAGAACTGTCAGCTTTAACCATTTGCTACAGCAATCTTTTTTTTTTTTCAAAAAATGCTATAATTCCAAGGATACAGATCGCTTGTTCTGAGAGAAGAAGTTCATTGTCTTTTCTTTTCATTTTTGTGTTCAGATAAAAAAAAAAAAAAATAATAAAAAAAAAAAAAAAAAAAAGAAAAAAAAAAAAGAAAAAGAAAAAGAAAGGAAAAAAGTTCGGATCCTTCCGAGCTGCCGCTTCTCCACGGTTAATCCATTAACTGGTCGTCTTCAATTTGTTGATGACTTTTTTCTCTTTGACCCTTCTGTTCTGGAACCAGATTGTGACCTGTCGCTCTGACAGATTCGTGGTCGCCGATATCCTCCGCCGTTTGTCTTTGGTTATGAATTTATTTGTAGCATATTCCCTTTCGAGTTCTTTTAACTGCACCTTTGTGTAGGGCACTCGCTTCTTCCTCCCACGTCTGTACGAGTTCGCATCCGAGGGATGCGAAACGACGTCTGAAACACAAAAACCAAGCGACAAGCGTTAGAAAATCGCAACGACCGCTCGGGACATCCTCCGGCGGCCCTGAGCTCGGTGCCGGTTTCTCCGGCCGCCTCCCTCCCCCCTCCCCGGTCCCGGGACGGCCCCGCTCCGCGCTCGGGGCTCGGCTCAGGGGCACGGGGGGGCCCGGTCCCGGCAGCGCCCGGGCTCAGCCCTGCGAGGGGCAATCCCGGCCTCAATGCTTATGGAAAATTCTGCTCCGGCGAGCTTCCCCGTGGGCTCCGGCCCCGGCAGTCCCTCTCAGCTGTTTCCTCTCCCTCAGCCCCGGGCGGGCGAGGCGCGATGCGTCGGGCGCGGGGGAGGGGGCGGCACCGGTGCCATCCCCGCGGCGCCGGGGCGGGCTGGGGCCGGGGAGCGCGGGCGGGGCGGGGACGGGGCAGCCGGGGGGGGAGTCCGGGGGGGACCCTGACGCGGGAGCGGGGAGGGGGCGAGCGGGTGGGGGCCGGAGAGGAGCGCAGGTGGATTACCCGGGAGGGTGGACTTCCAGAGGTGAGGCGGCTGGCTCTGCTCCTTGGGGCAGTACACTTGCCCGTTCCACCCGTTGGTGATGGCCCACGGCTGGTAGCTGTCCATGGGGAGCAGGGAGTCGTGGCGCGGCTCGCCGGGGCCGCCGATGGTGGGCACCACGGGCATGTCCAGGTAGCCGGGCACCGGCTGGTAGGGCCCGGCCGCGTAGCCCTGGTAGAAGGCGAACTCCTTGGCCCGCGACGTGAACTCCTCGCCGGAGACCGACGTGTCCATATACTTGTCGGCGAAGGTGGAGGCGGGCTGGGCGCAGGACTTGATGGCGTTGTGGTGGGTCATGCGGCACGGGTAGTAGCCGCTGCCGAAGTAGCCGTAGGGCAGCGCGGCGCCGGATGAGCTCTGCACGGCGGCGGAGCAGGGGCTGCACTGCTTGACAGCGGGCTCGGCCATGCCGGCGGCGGGGGCCTCGCTCGACGTGTAGGCGGCGGCGCTGGGGGCGGCCAGGGGCGCAGGGTGAGCCATCAGGTTGCGGCACGGGTTGGCCGCCGCAGCCGCCGCGAAGTTGCTGCCGGCGTGAAACCCGTCCATGTTCTTATTGATCTCATCCAGGCTGTTGTCGTAGAGGAACATGACGGGCTCGATCCAGCGGGGGTGGAGGAGCACGGAGGCTGTCATAGCCCGCTCCGCATTGAGACTAGTGGCTCTTTTTTAAAAGCCCCAAAGACTGAAAAAAGAGATACTAAATCTCCGGGACTTGACCAAGGCTGACGCGCCAGTGTCGCGCCAGGCGGGCCCTCATTGGGCCGCCCGCCCCCACGTGATATGCAAAGCAGCTGATAAACATCTGAAGGAATAAAGTGGAGATAATTAAATAATGCAATAACCGCGCGGGGCCGGG